CGATCAGTGGTGTCGATCTCGTCTTTGGCCCCGCAAGTCCCGCGGTACGGCTGAGCGTGCGACGCGCGTCTTTTATAGTCGACTCACCGAGGGTGCGGCAGCCAGGCGAACGGAGAGGCCAAAAGGGACCCACCTAGTCAACAGCTGGATCTAGTATGGATATCGCTACAAGCTTTTAGATGATTTAGATATATTACTCATATTTAACTTATAAGTATTACATTTTGCTGTGTTTAGGTTTCAAATATTTTAAGCATAATGAAAAGAAGTAAATTTGTATCACTGTTTCGAAAGACTCCAAATTTTTTACATGAAAAACTCGATGTGAGAAAAACCATCGAATCATAGTCCATTTTAAATCTCATTATCATAAAAAATAATAATAAGTTTATATGTCATCTCTAAATAACTAGAATATCATAATAATATATCATTATTATATAAATTTTATAAAAAAATATTTATATCTCATCAAGTGGATATATCAGAAAAATATTTTAGAAAGAACAAACTAAATATCGACACCGTTAGGATTATAAATACATAAATTTACTAAAATAATATTATAAATGATGTATTGTATAGTATTGTGCGTATAAAAATAATGTAGATACATAAACTTACGTAAAATGGTATTATAAATCACAATAAAATTATAATAGCCGACGTCGCTTGCCGACAACCCACCGTCCTCGCTCTCCATCTATTTCTCCATCACAACTTTCCGGCGGCCTTGTCCTTTCTCTCCCTTCTTCGTTATCTCAGTCGACGCCGCAAGAGTGGTGGAGGTCGATGAGTAGCTCGGCGATCGAATGCGAGGGCAGCGGCGGTTTTCTCGCCGTGCCTCTCCGCTGCGCTGGCTCCGCCGCTCGCTTTCAATCGACCAGATGCCTCTAGAATCGGGGGTGGTTGGCGACGAGAAGGCCGGCCGCCATGGGTTGTTCACAATTTATTTCTCTTCCGTCCGCGTGAAATTTACCTCAAAGGCAGGAGGAGGGGGCGGCTACCTGGCTCCTTCCTTCCAAGTACTACACCACGATGTTCTTGCAAGCAAATGCGTGCTGATTACCTTCCCGAACAACAGACGAAGCAACGGAGAGGGGACAAGCAACATCTTCCTTGTCCACCTACTTTTTCTCATCGTATCGCTTTGATTTCGACGTCCGGTCCTGCACAGTGACGGGGGAATGGATATCCAACGCATCCATTCCAAGTGCAACTCTGACGCTATTTTGTCCTTCGACTCAGTTGAGCCATTTGACTCGGACATTTTAAGGATCGGTTGGATTTGTTCTCCTTTTGATTTCCTAGCACGTGAAATGAGTCGGACGTAAAAGGACAGCGAGGTTATATTACTTGCACCGTCACACGAAGACCTTTCCCAGACCTCGATCGGCCTTTCTTATCCATATATAAGCATGCAATTTTCTTCCTCGCCATGACTGACATGACTTCTGAAGCTTCACTGACTCGAGCGAACCAACCCATATATTCTCGGCTGCGATTTGAGCACAATGATAAATCAGCTGCGATTAAGATAAGATATGTCTGACTGATGTGTTGTATAAGCTTGCAAAGGGCACACTGGGTGTTGTCTTAAGAGCCTTCAAAATCGATTGCTGTAGTCTATTTTTTTAAATAAATACAAATAATAAAAAAATATTGACAGTAGGATAGAAAACACCATCATAAAATTATATATAACAAAAATTAAAATAAATTCAAATTATAAATATATTTAGGAGTTCATTGGCTCAAAGTTTATTTCTGTTGAGACCACCCAAAGCAACGAATAAAAGATTCACCCACCGCCTCATACGGGCGGAAGACAATTTGACCACAGCATCAACCGACGCCTAAAAGTGGCTTAGCACGTAAACAACTCCATAAACATCACAAGTGGCACTTAACATAAGATTATATTAATGATTAGATGGTTGACATGAGGTGAGTATAAGCTTAAGCTACATTAAAAACCTATTTTCGGGTGGCTGGTTTGGCTCCGAGGATAACAGCTAATTGCTAGCCCAACATCCAAAACCAAAGCGCGTGCCGCCCAAAATCATACACCGTTGACGCTGCTGCCCCTTCCCGCGAAAACCCCACGCTTCCTCTGATCCCACCGTCGCCTTCTCGTTCACTTTCCACCTTAAATGCTTCTCTTCACTCCCCTCTCTCACTTCCCCTTCGTCCCGATCCGTTTGCAGCGCAATCCCACAGCACGCAGCTGACAACGACGACTCCACATGATCACGTGAACTGTCCCCTTAGCGCTTACTATCGTTTTGCTCTCGGCAGATGCATGGCTGAACGCCCTTCGGACGTGCACGGCCATCCCCACGTGCACTGTTGGCGTGCAATGGAGGGCGGCCGAGCATCCCCACCTCGACTCCCCGAGCTGTTGTCTTGTTGTGACCAGGGAGGTAATGCGGTGCAGGCCGAGAGCGAGACGCGCATGCGGCCGGATGCCTCCCGGAGGCACCTGAGCTACCGCGGCATCCGGTACCGGAGCGGCAAGTGGGTGTCGGAGATCCGCGAGCCGCGCAAGGCCAGCCGCATCTGGCTCGGCACGTACCCGACCGCCGAGATGGCGGCCGTGGCCTACGACGTGGCGGCGCATGCGCTGCGCGGCACCGACGCCGTGCTGAACTTCCCCGACGAGATCGCCTCGCGTCCGGCGCCAGCCTCGGCCTCTCCGAACCATATTCGTGCGGCGGCCGCGGAGGCCGCGGCTTCACTGGTGCCGAAGCCTGCTGCTGCTGCTGCTTCGCATCAGCATCCAGGGAGCTACATAGACGAGGAGGAGATATTCGACATGCCGCAGTTGTTGGTGAACATGGCGGAGGGGATGCTGATGAGCCCACCAAGGCTAAGCCCGGATAGGTCCGATGACCCGCCGGAGCTCTCCGAGGGGGAGAGCTTGTGGAGCTATCCGTAGATATATGTTGTCGTAGCACAATAAACAAAGAGTTACGCTTATATCACCTATCTAACACCTTCATGATGTGCTTCCCTAGGGCTTCATTTTCATGGAGATTACATACATGTAACGCTAGTCCGTAGGATTCAAATTTCCCCTTAATCTTGGGAAAGAATGTTTGCCTTTCTACCAGATTGCATATGGGAATTGATATATTATTATTTGTCTTCTTGGTTGCATGTGCAGATAAACTTCCACTGCCATAGAGTGCTCTACTTTTATCTATTTATTTATTTATTTATTTTCCCTCGAATAAAAAAACATGCAAAATAAAGCACTTAAGTATCAGAAAGTGCAGCAACAAATCATATCAGTTTGGGTTAGTCTTGTCGAAAATATTCTGAAATCATTAGGATCGGTAAAACTCTGCTTCGGCAATAAACTCCAAGAGTAAAATCTTAAGCTGGATTCGCCAAAACTAGCTGTGTTCAGGTATTCTTCTGACAGAATGTGAAACCCTCCACATAATGAGTCTGCAATGCGACGACACGGGTAATGCTGTGACTGCAAGAAGGCCTCGGAAGCATACAGGGATCGCATCTTTTTGCTCATGGATGAAGCTCTGCAACCCCAATCAAAGACGCGCATAATAACACCACACGTACGTTAAGATGTTCCCCGCCCATTGGGGTCTCCAAAAGGCTGTGTTCAGCTTTACGTACTCGGATCAAGTCTTCCCCCAGATGGATCCTCCGCCCACGGGAGACAATTAAATGTGCAGGACCCACACCAGCGGAGATCGCTGAACGCTTCAGTGCAATTTACGCAAAAGCTCGACAATGTTACTACGGTGATACAGAGAGAAGAGAGAGAAACTAAAAGCAAGTTTTGGAAGAGATGACATCCATATGAGGCACACAAAGTCACTTCTTAAACTTATCCATAAACGACTTTATGTCTATCTAACGAGATTTGAGGAGCATAATCCTCTTGAGTTGTAATCCTTCGCAAAGAAGACAATTAAATAAGCTATTATAACAACATCTACATCGAAATGATAGATATTTTAAGTCCTTAGGCTCAATTAACACCATAAAAAAGAATAAGATATAGATTTTGAGTCCTTCATTCTTGTCCTGGCAATTTTAATTAATACATCCATGCCTAGAATACTGTACTACTGCCATTGATATCATCATGAGTTGCTGAAACCAATGCATATTAATTCTTTCCCTTACTTTGCACATGTGATCCATTTCATGTAACATCGCAAACATGCATCTCCGACTTCGGACATCAAAGGATCACCATTCGTAAGAAAATTCACGTGTCATTTGGTTGTCCCGGCCTTCAACAGTGGTGGCGGTATTCCCAGACGTGGATCTGAAAGAGACCGCACTTTGCCGAAGACATACATCGGACATCTATGGCAGGTGTTGGAGGACAGTGCATGTTATCCGTCTGTGTCAAGGCGACTTCCAGGTAGCAAAGAATGGCGTGAGTCGTAAAGGAAGATACGGTGGTTGGGTGTCGGCGGCGGCCGCCCTGCGATCCGAGGCAGAAAGGTTTTGTCCCATCATCCTTTCGCGAGAAGGTGAAGTAGGGGCAGCTTCATGGGGCCATCTGAGGGAAGGTCCGCATGAAGGCGTGGTTGGTCGAGGGTTTATTTTGAGCGCGATCTCCGAAGAAAGAACAGGAATCTGATGTGGGGTCTCTCTTTGCACACCAAATAGATATGGTGTACAATAAATCCGATCGATTCGTTGAATCTGATGAAAACTCCGAAGACCATGAATGCCTCAGGCTCAGCAGTGAAGTTTTGATGCAAATCTGGTTGAATCCTGAAATCTGATGAAAGTACAAGAGGTGGGTCGATGTAGGTATACCAATTATACGACCATAACACCACCGTCGGAGTTCAAGGAGTGCTTGTCATGGATTGCTAATAAGGCCGGGGCTAAGCCTTCTTGCTAGGCCAAACTCCACCGCCAGCAAAGTAATAGAATTGAAATGGTTCGAATTAGAGTCGTCGTTCCAAGTACGTGCGGCCTAAAAGAAGGTAGAGACCAAATTGGAAATGTATAGAGAACATTTCTGCCGCCCGCCATTCGATGTCTTCTCGTCACCCAAAATTGGCGGGCTTTGCAGCCTCCCTCTGCCTCTGTATGTACCCGCGACATATATGGAACGTTAACTTCCTCAACGACTTCACCAACTAATTTATTACAACAGCCGTCACCGCCACCACAAGTTGGAATCTTCATTCAATCTGATGCTAAGTCCACCACCAACTCCTCCATCAGGGACCCCAGCACCAGGTCCTCCACATCCGCCGCCTCCTCCTCCTCCTCGAAGCAAATCCACCGCCCGTTCCTCTCCATCTCCCTCAGCGTCGCCTCCCCGTGGTAGTCGTCCAGGTCGCGGCAGCCCTTCCCCTCGATCCAATCCCTCGAAGTTTCCAACATCGGCCGCTCTGCCGGATCACGGCGCAGGATGGAGTTCCTCCACCAGGACGGGCGGCCGGGAACAGCGTCGTCGCCCGAGGAGGTCAGCCCCTGGATGAAGAAGTCCACCAAGACCTTCTCGACGCACGTTCCCCGGCCTACGTGGTAGTCGTTCTTTAGTTCTCCCAGTAGGCCCCACGCCTTCTTCTCTCGTAAGCCCCTCACGGCCGCCTCCTCGTCGTCCACGTCCGACAACGCGACGCAGTCGGTGGATTCGGAGCGGTCATCAGACGAGGCGAAGTGACGGTCCAGATCGATCGGGTCCAGATCGGCGAGGCACTCGAACCGTCTGATCTTCTGCAACAGCTGCAGCTTCGTTCCTGTACCCACAAACGATCCATCCACGTTAGGTGTCGCAGCGAGCTGTTCTTATTTTACCAACATATACAGAGGGGAAACAGTTATCTTCTTTGTCGGACGCCTTACTGTAGTTGAAGAGGCACGTGAAGCAAAACCTACCATCTAACGAGGGACGAATAATAAGATCATAAAGAAGACTGGAACAGGATGGGATTATTATTTATGGCTGCGGTTGGCATTTTGGGCTCGCGTCCACAGGTCAAAAGACAAAGGGAGAAGATTCCGGCGGAACGCGAGGACCCAAGTTGCCTTGTACTCAACGGCAAGTGCGTGGAGATAGGCGCCTGAGAGCTCCGTCTCAACTTCCAATATATTTACATATATATACCATCGACATGGCTGCTTTTCTAGATGGATTAATAGAAGACAACTTGTTTTTTTGGGTACTGAGCCGACGGAAATGACACTGCAACTTTAAATCCGAGTAGAGAAGAAAGATAAGTAACGTACTTTCGAGTTTAGCGAGGCTGTGATGGAAGGAAGGCGACGTGGTGTCATCCTCTTCTTCTTCGTCTTCTTCGGATGGGAAGTCCATCACAGACAACGGACTCAGCTGTTCCTTCTCCTCCGAGTGGCATTCCGGCGACTCCTCGCTCTGGCTCTCCGTTGCCTGTTTTCCGCATGTGAAAATGCCAATGAGAATGATTCATGAAAAGACAAGAAGGTACGGATGGAGGCGTGAAGCGAAGGCCAAGGCGACGTGGGCGTTCGAATTGGTGCATCGGCAAAGCCAAAAAAAAGCGGAGCACGCGCGGTCGAGGTCACCTCTAAAGCGGACCTCATCCATCGACTTTTGGAAGAAAAAGAATTCCCACAACCGTCCAACAAAACCCGTAGATTTGGCCTAATTGTACTCACCATGACTCGTCGTAGACCAAGTGAAAGACTACAAAGCTTTTCACTCTACTGTACCTCTCGAGCTTGGCTCAGGTCCTCCTCATCCACCGACCAACTCCGTGTAGTTCCAGCTTTTTATATAAAGCAGACGACAGATCTCGCAACCATTAAAAGACTGGCCCTTTCTTTTTGTCAACTTTCACTTCAATCGATATTTCAGGGACCGTTTTGGTTGTGTTTCTCATCCACCACTGCCTATATGGTTCTTGCTTCAGCAAGATAGAAAGGGCAGACAGAGAATTCGCGGTTGTAAAGTCTGAATGCGTCAAATTCAAACAGCGGTAAAGGTAAGAAAAGGGGTTGTGAAAGGAGCGGGACCACCGTACAAACGGTGATGTGGAAAGCTGAGAGGCGGGACCCAAGCCTCATCAACCATCTCAACCGCTCATTTCGTGGGGCCCTGATGTTGATTACTGAGAGAGGTGCGACGGGTGCAAATAATTGAAGCGCAATAAATAAAATAACAACCCCTCACCTTGGCCGCCCAGCGGTGGCCGGCGACGCTCGCTTCGGCGACCTCGGCGATGATGTTCAGCCCATTGGTGTTGCGGCTTGGGCTTGCTCGCGGTGAGTGCTTCTTGACGTCTCCGGTGGTGTCGGTGGTGGCCGCGTCGTCAGTGGTTTCGGAACTGGCAATGGAGGACGGAAGGAAGCCCGAGCCATAGGAGTCGGACTCTGAGAAGCTGCTGCAGCTGCTGACGACCGGGGACGGGAAGTCGAACGACGCCCGGTCGTCGCCAGTCTCCTCCTCAAACGATCTCAGACGTACGATGTCCCTCACCTTCGCCCTGTTCTCCTCCCCCTCTTTTCCTTTCCTTCTCCAGAAACTTCCCTTCAGCCTCTCCGAGAGGCTTCTTGACGGAGATCCCTCCTGCCTGGATCTGCCAGAGTCTGGGGAGGAGGAGGCGGCTGCGGCGAAGGGTAGAAGCCTAACGGCGTTGAATACAGCGGAGATCTTCGTCAAAGCGCTCATGGATGGTGTCCTCGGCAGCTTCCTTCCCCCACCGCCGCGGAGGTCCGCCTCCAGTAGGTAACGTACGGTGGCGTCGTCGTTGGCTCGACGCGGGACGCACCGGAACCCAGCGCCACTGGACTCGGAATTCCACTCCAGCTCAAGGTAATCCTTGAGCATTAGTGGCTTCTGAGCCATCATCTATAACCAGTCGTATCAGCAACACAAGATGAGAAAGAGAGAGAGAGAGAGAGAGAGAGAGAGAGAGAGAGAGAGAGAGAGCGCGGAAGTGGTTAGGAGGGAGTGGGCGAAGGTATTTAAGGGGCGACGGGGAGGGGGAGGGTCGAAGGCGAAGGAGAGACGCAGCTTCGAAGGCGGAGATCTCCAGATGAAGAACAACCTGCGCCACACAGGGAGTAAAAAAATGGAGGGAAGGAGGAATCCGTCTTGCTAGTTTATAATGAAGCAGAGGAAACACACACGAAAATAGAATCAAAGAGAGAGAGATGAAGAGATCGATAGCGAAGAGAGAGCAAGGGCACGGCGGACGCCGGTTGTCTCTCCGCTATCGCTGCTCTCTCGGCCGTGTTTTAATACCCGATGGCCGAAGTGTGTACGCTCAATGCTTTACGTGATTACATTCTTAATTACGCCTCGTGAGGTACTCGTCCTTCTACCACACTAGTGATTGGAGGTTGAAGAGACGCTTTTGGCCCCATGATTGCATCCTTCCTCCAGTGGAATTCTGTAGTCTGGAAACCATACGTAAGAGATTATTAATTTTCAGTGAACGTATTCAAGGTAAAAAAAGGGATTTTGGTGCTTCATTTATGGTTTGTTCCATACTCGAGATTTAGTGGCGAGAGGTGCAACGGAAGAAGATAAAAAAACCAGCCTGATGTTATTACGTCGAAAGATAAAAACGATTAATATGTCGCCTAGCGAGGTGCGGCGGGACGCAGCACGTGTGGTGCACCTGTGAGCAGCGGATCCGATGTTTTCGTGGCTTCGTTGCGCTCGTGCGGGGGTGCTGCGACTCGGTACCCGATCGCTCCGGGACGTACGATATGAGCTTCGACGGTGGGGATCTATGGGACGGGAGGGAATGCGGTCGGTGAGCTGTCCTCGTCGTCACCGCCATCTCCGCACACGGCCGATAATGCACGGCAGCGATAAACTTGATTATTTGAATAAGATCTGATCGAGTCCATCAATCTTGACTCGGTTCAATGATTTTTCGAGAATTAGTGGTTGGCAATGTAGAAATTAAAATTCGATACACGAGTCGATCGGATCAAGTCATTGGACGCTACAGGCCAAGGTGGGGTGCAACCGATTGTGGCAATGACAGCAACTAGTCATGTTTTGTTTGGGGATGTGAACAATGGATTCAAGACTGGTTTTCCCTTCTTATTTCTGTCTCACATGACCAACTAATCAATTAGACAGACTAGTAGTCCATGAAGCGTCAAAAGCTACTTACATTTTGGCATGCATATGGTGTTATATCTATGGACCAATTTACTTATAGGCAGAACTGACAGATGATATCATAGGAGCCAATAAGTGCTTTGGCTGCACTGTTGAAACAGTGCTTTCAAATCATGGATGTAGCTATCAAGATCTCACAAAAATTAAGATACATGCGTCCAAAGGTCGTACAATGAAGCACGGGACGCTCTCGATGCGTGGCTTTCAGGAGGGCGATGACTTTTTTGTCTCGTAATGCTGGGAAGGTTCATGGAAGCTCTTGACATGGTGGAGAAGAGGAGGCTTATTACATGTGATGATAACAGGACTACCTACATAAATTAATCATGTTTTTTTATTTTTTATTTATATGATACTGTTCTTGTATGTATAACATTAAATAAACGAGAAAAATAAACGGACTCCGAGAGCACACACTGTAAAACATTATCACCATTATTTATGTAGGTAGAATACGTCAACATACAGACATTCTCTCTTATGAGAAGCCTTATGATCGAAAGTGTTGGGATGATTGATATCCTTTATTAAAAGGGAAATATAAACCATCGTCGTCTACTATTACGGTCCGTATCCTTCATCTATGCTTTGATTAAAAGAAATGAGAGAGAAGGAAAAAAGAATATAGTCTCATCATTGACCAATTTATACATCGGAAAAGTTACCCGACACGTGCGGTGTTGAAGAGAGAATGCGTCTAAGAAGTCAAAGAAATAAACTATGAAAAGTCACCCCACCTAATTCCCAGCATCCGCCGGAGCTCAAATGGAAGACGCATCCACGGCCACCATCAGAGTCGTGCACGAATCACGACAAGATCTCGCGGTCTCGATGGATGGACCCCTCCGCTCCAGGAGACGATGAGGCCATGCGATCACGAGGAAATAACATAGCTTCCAACGTTGCAAAGTAGGCCTACCGGAAAACCAGTGCATCGATGACGATAACCCCATCACTTGGGCCGTAGTACTTCGTATCTCAACTCCAGATTTCCTTCGTGTTTGCTTTCTCAAGCAGAAATCAAGTCATTTCCATGATTGGATGTGCATTTCGCTTGCACAAGTACAAAGAACTTGCATCAAGAACAGTGGCAAGTCAACCAAGTAAGATCTTAGATAGAATTCCAAGTCAACAGTAGATCCAGAACCGAAGCATCAAAGATGGCACAGATCTCACTTCCTGAACTGGACTCGACTCTTCGACCCACTGAAACTTCGCTGCTCCTTCTCCTTGTGCAGATTATTCATCAGGTTAACCAAAACGCTCTCGGTATTGTCGTCTACACTCCGCCCAACAATTGCCCAGGTTGGAATGTTGTCGTCTAGTTTAAGATTCCAGAGCTGCTGTAAGATTTAGCCAGTAATGTATGTGCAGGCAAGTATGATTCTGGACAACAGTTAATAAACTAATAAGATTGGGTCATTGTGGTTGATCGTCCGTACCTACTCAGAGTCCACACAGGGATCATGCGCTAAGGTAGGACGGTGGCCGCTGACAAGTGCGAGCTGGTCGAGTCCACCGTGATCAGTGTCGTTGCCAGGTTTCTGTTTTTTGTTTTTGTTTTGGCTTTTTTAATTTGAGAACAGTTCAGCGAGGGCATGCGGAGGAAGACATGCATGTTGGCCATATACTTCCACGTAGCGTTGCGGAAGCTCCCTTCGTCTCTAAACAGGTTTCATTTCTTCTCTAAAGTATATATAGACTCATTTTGTGCTCATTCATCGTTAATTTACTGAAGCTAAATAAGCTAACACGTCTTATTTATTTTTATAATTTATTTAAATCTTTTTATATTATTGATTCACGTCATGATATGCTTATATCTATTCATACATAGGGTGATGTAGTAGATGGATGGGGCCGTGCAACAATGTGTTGTGCGTTGATGATGACTCCAATATGCGCCGAAAGGCTTTACGTTGGTGCCCAAACAATTTCTCTACTTCGCATCATCAGGTGATGATGATGATGATCATCATCATAAAAATGTTTAGAGATGAAGTGCATCCGCCTCATCTATGTCTTGATGTAGTGGAATGGGCTACGTGGACATCATCATATTTTTCTCGAGAAAATAGTGGGCATCATCATGATGTGATAATGTTATTTTCTTAAGATGATAATGAGTACCAAAGACTATGACACGACGCTTTCATTCTTTGATCCACCATCAAATTAATGGCCTCCACCTCTGTCACTCACTCATCCTCTTGCTTTTGAATTGCCTCATCTCCATGGTTTTGATCCCAAAAGGAAGCACTACTTGGAGGATTAGACTTCACCAAATGGGGGAGCCATCTTGTGGTGGTGGCGCCAACCAACACCACCCCCACCCCCACCCATGCAGAAGAACCCCCTCGCCTCTCAGTTACGTGACTGTAACTCCAAAACAACAAGCATCCCACTTTCCTTGTCTCTCTGTAAACCAAACCCCGAACAGACCCCGCCATTAGAGCTCGCACGCCGTATGGATGCCGTCTCGCCCCCCATAAATACCGCTACCTACATCCCAACTAGTGTCCAACTTTGCTTCCTCGTCTCTCCAAACCCAGAAGAATGGCTTCGCCGGCAAGGAGGTCCCTGGCCACTGTCATCGCCGTCGCCGACGCAGCGTCCTGGTACCTCGCGCTGGCCCTCGTGGCCCTCGTCCTCCTAAGCTCGCTGCGTGAGGGCCCCCCGACGACGGCGGAGGAACTGAACGAGCCTGCGAGGGGTGGCGGGCCGCTGGTCGCCCGGCCCTGCGACGAGATTTACGTGGTCGGTGAAGGGGAGACGCTCCACACCATCAGCGACAAGTGCGGCGACCCGTTCATCGTTGAGCGCAACCCGCACATCCACGACCCCGACGACGTCTTCCCCGGACTCGTCATCAAGATCACCCCCTCAAAACCTAGGTAGATGGAGAATTCACACCACTGCGAGATATGGGAGTCCATGAAACCTGTTGTTAATTAACCTCCTCCTCCTACTCCTCCTCCTTCTCTTTATGGAGTCTGACTGTGGGACTTGTATCAGTGTCATGCAACCGAGTAAAACGAAGAAGTTGTGAATTGATTAGAGCAGGGAGAGTTGTTTGCCGCTTCGTTAATGGAAGTTCCGTACGTGAAAGAGTTCTTGATGAAGACACGGATTTTAAGGATGAGATGGGGGATGGGAAGCGTGAGTGCTCTCTCATCTCTCTACCTGCGTGGTTTATTTGTAGTTGTCATAAGTAATCTAATTATTGATCGGCTTAATTAATTAAAATATATTTATCTATATCACCATATAGATAAGTGTGATAGGTGCAGTATTAGCGGCGACTTATTTGATCAACAGAGAGCAGCTCCTCTCCATGAGACCAATCATTTGAGAAAGACACAAATAAAGATGGAATTTATACTTATGTGAGGAGTTAATTGTATAATTTCCAGTTTGACTCTATGGATTAATATTTATATTTAAATATTAGTGAGAACTATTTTATTATATTAATTTCATATATAAATGATAGTTTATTTATCAATAGTAATCTTGATTTATTATATGAAATTAAAAAAATTCTGATCAAGAATTTTAAAATGATTGAGACTAAAGAGATTTATTAGTTAAGTTCCGGAGACATTTAGTATGCAACTTTATTCAGACAAAAATATAAGATTCAATCAAAATTAATTTTTAATAATAATAATTATTATTATTATTATGAAATCTATTGAACGGTACGGATTAAACTCTATCGTATTCCATATATTGAAACCTGAAAAATACTACAACACAACACGAAAGAAAAATCTCAAATTGGAAAAGTTGATCATAATGCATGTATGTTATAAGAATAACACATGGAGGGATGGGCGAACCCATGACCACACACATTCTATCCAATAACAATGGCACTAAAATGCAAAAGAGACCAAAACGATCAATTGGCTCCTATAATTTGCTACGATGTAAATACTTTTTTTGGCAACATTATTTACTTGGTCGAATTTTCAGGTTAATTTTCTTTAGCTACACTAAGTTACTCTTTAGTTAAAACCTTAAAAACTCATTATGATGATAGAAACCTCAATGTTAGTTTAGATGTTCTATAGTTTTATCTATGTTTTTAACTTAAATTGTAACCGTTATTA